ATATATCCGTAACACACAACGCATGTTATAGATACATGAACAGATATTAAGCGTGTAAGCGTATGATAAATTATCAAAACAGTTTGTACACGAGAGCGAACGTATTAAATACTTGGCACACATCGAGCGAATCTCACGAACCCTCGAACGCTCAAAGTGTCAGCGAGTCGCCCTGTCGCGGACATAAAGTCGCGAGACGAGATATTTCGATAATCACTGCACGGTGTTTTTGCTCGGGACTGCGGTCCATAATTCACCGTGCGAACAGTCGGGTTAACGAAGCGGACGAACGAGCGAGCGAACGCGCGCGCCGCGTAGATCGATTAGAACCGAGACGAAGGCCGGCCCGCGCTCCGCTCGTATCCGCGCGCGCGGTTAGAATTTTACGGCTACGCGCGCTACATATTCATAGCGCGCCGGACCAGGAGAATCGTTCCGGAGGCTGCCCCGGCGCATATTCGGGTCAGCTGCAAATAACGACTGTCGCCAAAAATCATCGTGATTTATACCGAATCCGATCGCGTTTTCCGGCCGATGTTCGCCGCCGGCGAAGTACAAATCGAAAACTCAGAGCGGCACGGCGAACTTATGCAAAATAGCGGTGGCGACGACGGCGGCGGCGGCGGCGGCGGCGGCGGCGAGCGCGCCACGATGATTAATCGCGTCGGCGGGCCGATTTAAAAGTAAAATCATTTATACGATATGGAGCCAGACGATGACAACCGGTAATAGCCTGCATTACGCGTAATGACAAACGGCGATGCGCCGGCGCGATATGGAAAGTGGGTCACTTCTTGGCCCCTTCTCTCACCTCCGGCGTCATAAAGGCGTCCAGGACATCGTCCCGGAAGCCTTTGGCGTTCGTCCTACCGGAAAATTTGCTCGCTCAGGTGCCGACAAATGTACCTCCTTTGTCCTGTCCACGCGACAGCCGAGACGTAAGTACGACTGGAATAAATTCGCGACAAAAATAAGGAAAGAAGGAGGAGAGAGAGAGAGAGAGAGAGAGGATGTACGGCCGATTCGTACGATGTCGCTATCGCCCGTAAGACACCCGCATCCTTTCCTCTTCTAAGACGACGAGCGTGCAAGCTGTTCGTCTAGAAAATTTGCATCCCCCAGACGTTCAGCCTGGTTGCTCGCGCCCGTATCGCCTTTGGAATTAGGTACCCATTCCGGCGTAACTTCGATGAGGAAGGCGGGAGGTTTCCCGAAACCAAGAAAAATAAGGTAAAAAAGGAGATCACGACGGATATTAAATAAATCGGCGGTACATTGTCAATGAGGAACAAAAGAATTGATATATTCGATGTCTTATGATGCAAAAGGAGCTGTGTCCATCTTCGTTTATTTTTCTCATAATTCAATTCGCCTTATGCGGACCTCGCCAGACTCGAATTTTCTGGCCGCATTTGCGCAGTCGTGTACAAAGTCCCGGGATTACTCAACCCATTTACATCCGAAACGGAAATGTCTGTTCATTTCGCCTGGTCATTATATCCCAGATGGATAATTGTGATTTCTTATTGAAGATGGTTCGAACTGCATAAATCATGCGTTTCCCGTACGTTTTATTATACTATCGATCTAGAAAGAGTAAAATATAGTGAGATAGATACATTTCACAAATCTTCTAATAATACAAACAGGTTGATATTAAAATTTCAGTATTCATTCGGATCTGATATTAGTCGGATCTGATATTGATACTGATGATTCGAACAGTGGATAAATGTAACGCTTCATCAGATTCGGGTTTATCCGGGGAACAGTTGATGCATCAAATTCGAAACCAAATCCGGATCCGGATCTAAATTCATAGCAGAATCGGCCAAATATAGACACGTTCGCAATAATCTAAGTCTCTGTGGAAAATTTGACAAAAAGTAAATCAACTGGAACATTTTTAACTGCAATTTGATAATCTAACTTGAAATGAGATGATTATTTATATATGATATTATTTTAATAATAATTATCTGAAATAATTTTTTTGTTAAATTAATCCCGTTTTTGGTTTACCTGTTTTCTTTTTTTTTATATATATAATCTCTTATTAAAATATAGATTTAGATCCAAATAATTCGGATTATCTAGATTATTCTAATGGAGTGCGATTATTGAATTTTCGAATCGAAACCGATCTCGAATATCCGGATAGTTTGACGAACACTTGGGAGCTTTATTTAACACATTGCCAACCGCACGAGTTGCAGCCAATTAAACACAAGAGAGTTAGTAAAATTATTCTGATGTATGTAAATAAAACCCTAACCCTCTGCGAATTGGTAAAGAAACTTCTGCGAAAACTCACGTGTCATTCAAATGTACGTGAAAATGGATTCAAATAGTTCAGTTAATAATCGCACGAAGACGTTCGTTAAAATTCACAATTAGAAAGCGATATTAATTCCGGACGAGCGACGGGGACCTTGAAAATAATCGGACTAAAGATTTACATGTCGCGGAATATCTTGTCGTTTTTTCCCCGGTGGCCAAACGATTCACACCGAACTTTCCCCTTTGCGAAGTAAGTTCTCGAGAAGAGCTCGTCTAACCTCGGGATGCCGGACGGCATGGCGCTCGGACAGGCGTGAAGGGATTAAAGGAGCGAAATAATGTCGGCGTACAATAGGGGTTCCCCTTGCACTCACCGCGAAGAACTGTCCACGACGATGAGGCTTGAGGAAGCCTCGGTTAAGCGTATAATCTAGAGCAGGGTTTCCCAAACTGTGGCTAACTGCAGCGCGACATCGCTCCTTGGAGATTATTACGGATGTTCGCGCTCGGTTCCGTTAAAATCGGAAATAATATTCTCCCACATAGCAGAATAGTTAAAACAATGTAACGTCGAGCCCTTGAAGTACTTTATTCTTTACCCTGAGAGTTATAATCTGAATGGTCATGTGACACAAGCTCTAACGGAATTGTTATCGAGAAAAAATAATACAAAGCTTTGTTAATATTTAACCGAAATCATCTAAAAGAAGAAAAACAAAGATAAGAGCATGTGTGTGTGTGTGTGTGTGTGTGTGTGTGTGCACGGATATTACAATCCAATTATCATTAATCATCAAGGAAACGTAAACAAAATCTGTCATCTTCATACACAGCTTAAAGCTTCTAATTGAAAGAGAATATTTCTGAGCTGCGGTCCGCGTCTTTAAAGCTTTACTCGACAAATATGACCTTTACGAAAACTGTGTCTCAGTTATTTTTAATTAGAGAGATTCCGATCGAGAGTCGCTGGAACGCACGCTCCAAGCACAACTAGCGGAGTGGTTGGTTGGCGAGAAGAGGCGGCCGGGAAGTTCGTTGCCGGAAGAAGAGCAGGAGGAAACCAGTTTCGGGTGATATATCTTCGCGGTCTCGCCTCGACGAGCCTCCCCTAAACACCCGAAGAGACGGCGCGGAGTAAAAAGGGCGCAGGAATGGCATAGCGAGAGCGAGCGAGAGCGAGCGAGTCCTCGGCACGCTTTCGCCAGTTTTTGTCCGCGCGGCGTAGTTAATCCTTCGGAGTTTGCCTCGAAACCGGGCTGAAGAGGAGCTCCTTCGGCAACTCTCGGGGCCACCCCCGGCGGCGTTGGGCGAGTGAGGGGAAGAGACTTCCCGACTAACCGCGGTCGCTGGATGCGAGAGTGGCGAAAGAGGCGCAACGGCGCAAAATAAACTACCTCCATGTCGCATAATACACGACGTTACCTCGAACCACCCCCCGGGCTCCTCGACGTTGTCGTCGTCATCGCACCCTCCCACTGTCCCACTACCCAGAACGCTCTTGTAATACGGTCGTCGCGCCTCAAATGCAACGCGAAGCCCCGCGGATCTCCTTCTCGGATGGCGAACTCGCTTAAGCGAGTCGCGGGGCGTGCCGCCAGATTCAGACTTAATTAAGTTTATACTTCAGTTTCGATGGGCACAGGGACACCGCCTACGTACTGTCCTCTGTGCCGACACACGTGTTACTCGCTTTCAGGAGAGCTGCCGGCGCAACTGGGTCTAATAACGCGAAAATTGCGCCCGTCTCTTCCTCGCTGACTTCCACTGCTGACTTCTAAGTAAAAGCGCCGGCACGGAATTATTTCGCGCTCGGTCCGTCTCAAAAAGCAATTTCAGCTAATGCATATGTATGACACAAGCTTGTTATTTCTTCTTATTTTCGTGTGCGGCGTATCTGTCTTTAGGGGCGGCACCGCGCGATACCGATTCGTCGCGAGAGAGTCCCGCGGAAAATCTAATACGCAGTAGCCTGCGTAACGTTATAATTCGAAATTTTTCCATTGGTCTTTCGAACTCAAAGAAACTTGCGAGGTTAAGGTAAACCCGAAATTTCGACCTGGATTCTGTTTGCGCTTTGTTTTCTCGAGTGGACTGTATACTGGATTGTTTAGTAACGATGCTCAACAAGTTCGTTTCTTGATTAATTTTTCAAGACGGCTTCATCTTCTAACCTTGCTTAAAATTTATCCAACGAGGAAATTAATTAGGAAAATTGAGGAATAACGAGATTTCCGATCATGGGAAGATAGGCTGTAAATTTGTTGAACGATAAGTTTCTGAAGGAAAGTGCGCGAGGTAAAACGGAACGTCGGCCAATGGAGCTTTCTCGTTACAGCGCAATTAAAATAAAAGTCCTAGTTAATAACAATTGTACACATTTTCTTCAATAAGTCACTCTCTCAAATTGTCAGTGTCAGAAACAAAACTAAACTGTCATATCGCTAAATGGTACTTCCATGTTATCTCTGAGAAAAAAATGTTATAAATAAATTAAAATCTTTGCATAAATTAGAAAAATATAACACAATTAACACCCCAAATGTTCAAGTTTTCAATAAAGTTCAACAAAGTCAACTTCGTGTACTCAGCTTGACACGCAAATTATTAATTTATTAATTTATATTCACGATGGATTTATTTGGTCACTAATTAGGTCATTCACTTTGCAACGTACATATCAAAATGAGTAGATGCGATTTCGTCATTTTATTGGTACTCACATTGAACGTCAAGCAGGATGCTGGCATTCATCGGCACCGTTAGCGTGATATGACGCGCTACGCAGACTATGGTGGCATTGTGATGTCCCCGTAAGACCTTAAGGTGAGCTTTGCTGGAGCCGCCGGATGTCGAGGGTGACACGGTGAGGTTGTCCGGCGGTTGTTCCGGGCCGTCTAAAGTGGCTTGAGACAAGGTCATGCCCCATGCCAAAACGGGCGGCGGGTTTCCACCCTCGGCCGCACACTCGAGAATAAGCTCCGAGCCCTCCTTCACCGGCACGAACTGGTTTCCGGGATCCAGCCGGCGGCCATCTATCAGCAAATACGTCCCACGAGGTGCCTCTGTAACAAGGAACCATCCGGTAATCGCTCCAATTAGTAACCTCGTAACATTAAAAAAAAATTCGCTCGAACGCGAGCGATTATCGCGGCGCACAAAGAAGACGAGAGCTCACCGGTGTGTGTCATTTCTCAGATGGAGAATGTTGGAAAGAAATATCTGACATTATAAGAGAAGATATTCACGCGTTTAAAAGCGACGATAACGACGCATCATTATTCCCCGCGATAATCTTGGCATTAACCTTTCATGGTCGCGCATCGAATCTACCTCGGCCTCGTGAACTAACTTTTTATTTATTAATGCTACATTCGATACCGATATATTAATATATTAATATATCACTGTGGCCATATTACTTGGAACTATTTCAATATTTTAAATCACGATAGCATTATACTTAACCCAACATATTAAAAAAATTGCAAACTACGCAAACTATGCGACATGCCCACAAAATAAACGAAAAATAAATGAATTTTTAAAGCCAACCATTTTTCAAAATGAATGTCTGCTTATATTATCATTCGTTTATAATTTCGTCGATAATATTTGACCTGAAAAGAAAAACTGAACGTACAGCTAAACGTACACCTATACGTATCTGTATGCCTTGAAATATTTCATGAGACTCAGCAATATCACGATGACTGTCGCGCGGCGTTCATCGCGTCGACCAACCTCGCTCTTAACCTCTCGGACATAACTGTTGCAAAGCGCAGCGATAAATAGCGGCGAGCAATACAGTATCGCGGATCTAGCGTTAACGTCTCAAGCGGGCAATTTAGTTCGCGGACGCGATGTCGCATTTAATCAGATTTACCAAATACATCCGCCCGCCCGCAAGTGCGAGCGCGCGCACACGCGGAATAGTTTTTAGTCTCAGACGTGCTATCGTGTCGCCGGCAAACGTAAATTAAAGTCACCCGTGCGGCGGACTTTTTACGCGACGCTACACAGCGGGGAGGAAGCGCGCGACATATGAGGGCCGCAATTTACAGCGAGCGCGCGGCATCGCCCGTCGCGAACTGGCCGGTTTTACGACGGCCGCTCGACCAACGTAACTTCCCGCCGCCGTTTCACTACGACTACTTCTCTCTTCCTCTCTTTCCTCGTCTGTGCGCGCGACGCAGTTTAACCACTCGCGCGAATCGCGAGCGCCTCGAGAGACCGGCCGCCGCCGGATCACCCCTCGAAGCTCGCTTTAATTTTCGCCAACTTTTCAATTGCCCTGGCTGGGCTAACAACTGATTAAGCCCCGGGTCCCTCAGCCGAGCTTGCCTTTGCAAACGAAAAAGGTAGGTAGGTAGCTAGGTAGGTAGGTAGGTAGGTAGGTAGGTAGGTAGGTAGTTGGCTGTCCTACTCGGCCGCGCTTCTCGCTTCGCGAGAGAAGTAATCCGACCGTTTGTCTACGTCGAATCTCCTAGGAAACCCGCGAGATGCTTTAATGTACTTGAAACTTGGCTTTTTATCTCGCCCTAGTCCCCCCCTTCCCATCTCTCTCTTTCATCCCACCCTCACTCTCTCTCTCTCTCTCTCTCTCTCTCCTCTCTCTCTCTCTCTCTCTCTCTCTCTCTCTCTCTCTCTCTCTCTCTCTCTCGCTCCCTCAAAGTGCCGTTAGCCCGGCTCTTAATGTGCGCCCGGAACTTATGCGTAATTAAAATCTAACGATGCAAATCGCTCGGTATCCGAGGTATTCTCGTGAGAGGCGTAAACGCGAAAGTAGACGTCTGCAATTCGGTTATAACTTAATATTCCCTCGTCCGCGCTCGATTCACCTGGGACTCGTTGTATTCCGCTTCCTTTTCCTTGTTTACTTTCATTTTCCGTTTCCCCCTTTTTCGCGGAGTTCTTGTAAAGCCGCGAAGCGCCGGTTTACCATTCATTAAGATATCGGCGGTAAATCGTAAACCGCAAGAAATAAGAGAGAGAGAGAGAGAGAGAGAGAGAGAGAGAGAGAGAGAAGAGAAGAGAGAAAAAGTTATAAAGTTGCGCGTAAACTTGCGATGGAAAACTGCCGCTTAAACAAGCAAAAAGAAGGAAAAAACCGCCCTAAAGAATATTCCCCACGCAAACAATAGCGATAATAATTTTGGAAAACTCGTGAGGTGAGGTAATTCTCGCTCGACAAGAAAAATAAAGATAGATAAGGAAAATGACGTTAAAAATATGGCGAACTACATCCGATTACTTTTCGGCGCAAACGTCAGGAAAATTCGTAAAAGTCACCCTCGCAGTTCGCCTTGTATAAACCGTCACGGTGCCAATCTCTCTCTCTCTCTCTCTCTCTCTCTCTCTCTCTCTCTCTCTCTCTTTTTCCCCGGGTTCCGGGTTGACTTCGCCATACTCTCGCCGTGCTTCGATAAGATCTAGTCACGTTCATTAAATTTTCTCGTACTGTCGGCCTTGCCAAGACGAATGGTAGGGACGTTCTCGAAATAGGTCGCTGAATAAGAGGAAACGTGCAAAGCCTTCTAAAGACAGAAATTGTAATTGTATCTCCGGTATGATTTAATGTAATAAAATATAGCGCGAGCGGCACCTGCAGCCGGATAAAACGGCGCAGGCATGACGGAAAATTTAATAATACCATGAGATTTAATAATAGAGCCGAAGCTGTGCGTTCTTTTCCAGTTTGTTAACTAAATATATAAAATTAAACCGGCAAACGTCAAGGATGCATCGCATTCTCCGTTCGCCTTATTTATTTCCGTGTTACTCCATTTTTTTAACATTTACATTGAAATGTATATACAAGCGACTTCCCTCTGTCCGGCCTGAGAATGAGTACTGAGAATACCTCTTGACAACAAATCGAAAAAGCTGAAAGTGCAACGATGGAAACTGAATGTTCAGAATATGCGCGCGCGTGCGCGCGCGAGAGAGAGAGAGAGAGAGAGAGAGAGATACATTAATCCTACTACAATATTATAGGAAGCTTAGCGCATTCGTCGCAGGCAATATTACAAGTCTCCCGTTGGCACACATAATCCGCTAACGAATAAAAATTATTGAATTGCGTTCTGTTGTGAATTAGCTCGTTGAATACAAAATGCCTGACTTTTTACCTCGAATTAATCGCACGCGGATTCAGTGCAGTTTCTCGCCAAATACATTAATATCGATTTCGAGAAAAAAAGAAATATCCAGAGTTTAGAAAGCGACGAATTTCTCGAACATATTTTTGTCGCGATTTACAACGACGATTTTCATCGCTTTTCATCGCGGATCACTTTAATATTTTCCACTGATACGTCGTCTGTGTGCACCCGGCGCAAATGATCGAAAACGTTTTCTCTATTTTCTCTTTTCTCTTCTGCCAAACCGACGCCTTGAAGCCTGCTTGAAGCCACTTTCAGAATATCGCACAACTCTCGAGAAATTCGTGACATGACAACAGCGGGAGCGACTGTGTCAAGTCGATATTACCTAGATAGTAGCATGAAGCCTGAAAACGCAGCAGGAATCTCGGAAAATCCCGAGGTACTTTGCATACACTTTTCGCTTCAATCTTCGCTCTAAAAATCACGAAACCCAGCTCCTTGGAAAGATTCCAGAACCATGTAACGCGATCGCGAATCGAGGAAAGAAAAAGGCTTGGAGGGACGGAAGGTCCTCCGCCGTTTTCCTCCTCGTGAACGCGGTTATACGCTTTCGCGCGAACGTATGCCGCTCCACAGACGTTGAAAGAGACTGTAAAGGTCGAAGCCGAAAGCCCGAAATATGAAATCCCCCTCGTAACGCTGAATGCGCCGCAATTCCTCGTGCATCCGCATAAATTCCCGCTTTAATATATGCACGCGATATTAGATATCTTAATTATCATATTAACGCGCGGATTTAACGTGCCGCCCGCACGTATAGAGGCGAAGCACGTCGTTGAACGTAATGAGGGTGTATTAAACGTAATGCGGAGATTTAGGATTTCCGGCGTTAGACGACGAAAAAGACATCGTTTACACGCGATTTATTCTCATCGTGTGTGAAATGTAATAAAAAATATAACCTCCGCTAGTAGAATTCCGGAATTTCGTGGCTGTTTGATCATAAGGTGGTAAATTTGCATCGCTAACGTCGCTCTCTCAGCCAGCCACATAACAATACTCTAACTACCTCTAATAGCTAAACGAATAAGTTAGCTGATAGTTGAACAGAAGAAATTACAGTTATGAAAAAGATCACAATATATTAGTTAGCAATCAATAATGTAACATCTACTTCTGCTCTTTTAAGATTCTTATGAGAAAATATAATCTCAATTCTGCTTCGCGATCTAATTTCAAACTGCTATGTACCATATGGCGAGTTGGTATATAACAGTTCGATTCTGTGTTAGGATATAGATGTGTAGATATTAGTAGATATTAGATGTGTAATAGCTAAATAATGGTGGCCAGGTGACAAAACCGATTCTACTCCTTTTAATAAACACTCAGTCAGTAACGAGCTAATGACGAGCTAGAAAATTCAATCTGGCTTGTATCAATTCGCTAATAGCTTTCTGCTAAAACTGGCTAATTACGTCTCTATTTGGATTGAGTGGTAATTGCCCTCGTCATGAAATCTCTCTTGAACAATATCGACAACTCGGCGATAAGGACGCGATAAGGACACGGCTTTATTTGTCTCACGAAGAATCACGTGCGAATCGTTTCGGGAAGTAGGTTAGACGAATTCCCAATTCGAAGTGTTCCCGTAAAGCCGTACAGAGAGCAACAATACGGAAGCCGTATTGTAGCGGCGCTCGCGCTCGCGCGCGCATCGCGTTAGTTAGTAGATAAGTCGCTTAGTCGCGTTTTACTTATTTCTACGATAAAGACTAGAGATTTAGAGCTCGAGCGGTAACGGGCAAAATATCGCACAGGCAGGTATTAGCGTGGGCGGCGATATTTTTTGCTCGCTCGAAACGAGCTGAAAAGGATTTAATCCTTCCCCACCGCGCTTGGAGTTTGAACGTATGCAGCGTTTAAAGTGGAAAGATAGTAGGGAAAAAGAGCTTAAG